CCGAAACTGGGTAGCCCCTTTCAGATGGGATTTTTCTCCTTTTTTTTTTTTTTTTTATCCTTTTCTTTTTTTTTCTTTTTGTTTTTTTACTTGGGATTTTAGTTCACTAATACGTCATCTTGTTGTATTAATCTTGTTTTGTACCTAGCCATGTAAGTGGCCTGCACAGTGACATAAAAATATAAACCAGATACGTTTAAAGAAAATCTCGAAGGCTTCTTGTTAAATGACTTGCATGTACATGAAATTGGATGTTCCACACAGTTTGTGTTGCAGCAAGAATGATAGGTGCTCTGGGTCTCCTCGATTGGCTGTTTCATCAGCTAAAAAGTTCAGAATTCCAGAAAGTGATGCAGAGTTTTGGATAAAGTTAGCTTCTCCGGTCGCTCTCCAATTCCCTTTGGAATAAGAGTTCGCAGGCGTTTTTTTGCGCTTGAATTACGACGGGTTCCGTATCGTAGGCATGGCGCTGTCGAATTGGCGGGTTTCAGACGCTCGCTCCGTGCACTAGCCTTATCTAAAACCCTGGTCTTCAGAAACTTTGAGCTGCTTTTCAAACCCTATCTTCAATTTTGCTGCAGCACAGACGGGAAAATATCTTTGTGCTCTATTGACTGTCTATGGTTTTGATATCTGACCTCGTCTACCAAGCCTTCTAGTTTGTCAATTTTAGGGACGCTGGACCTTTGACCAACAGGACGCTCTCTGTCACGGGTTGGGGCCAGGGCAGTCAAGCCTTATGGGCGGAGGGGGTTCCCTCGATCCTCGCAAAGCTTTTTCCCCCCCACTCCTCCGCTAAAGCTGCGCTCTGAACGCAGAGTGGGGGTTTATTTGAAATTTCCCTCCGTTACCTATTACCGGCCTCGTGCGCTGCCACTCCATTCGAGTCGTAAAGGATTTCTGTCCTCTCCCATCGAGCTCCACGCCCCGTCTCCTCACAGAACCGATCTCAGCCCGCCCCTGTTAATTGAACTCCCCCCCCCCCCCCCTTGCAGTTTTAATTTCTAAGCAAGGCCGCTAGGCGAGCGCACTGCAGACCACCCTTCCAGGCGCAGGATCTAGATCAGGATCTTTTGGGAGCCTCAGCTGCCCGTTAGGAAGCTGCCTCATCCCCTCTCCGCCTGACAGAACCCCCTTGGTCAAACTGTGCCTTGTCTTCTTATTCCATCCACGAATAGAAACGCTATCAGTCAACGACTCCCCGGACGTTCTGGACAGGCAGAAATGCCTTGCTGCCTTGGCGTCACTGCGACACGCCAAGTGGTTCCAGGTTTGCATTTTGTTCTTATATTTGTCTTTAAGTAGAAAATTTGTAAACTATTAAGGGGCTAACTAATTTTTTTTTTTTTTTATTTAAAATACTTAAACGTCGGATGATAGTTAGACGTGCCGAACTTAGCGTCTGTCAACGGTACAGTTGCTAAAGAGGCACTTAAGCGAATTAAACGTGCGGAAGGAACCTTTTTTAAAGAGTAGATGCATAGCTGCTGCTTTGTGTTAAGAGTAATGTTGCCTTTGTACACTACGGTTATTGTTGTAAGTTATAAACTGGTAACGCGAAATACTGTTTACCCTTGGCAAAGTAGCACCGCAAAAATGAATGTCTGCGAATGAGCAGTTTTGGTGTTTTTGTTGAATGCGTGTCTGCTTTTGATTCTTACTCTAGGCCAGGGCGAACGGGCTGAAGTCGTGCGTCATAGTGATACGAGTGCTGCGAGATCTGTGTACCCGGGTTCCTACTTGGGCACCGCTGAGAGGATGGGTAATTTTCCTTTTCCGTTTCGGGGGTTTTTTTTTGGGGTTTTGGTACCGCTTTTCCAAACCGGCGTCCGGCTCTCTCCGGTCTGCGCACGTTCCCTTTCACAGGTTAGAGATTTCTATAGCGTGAGCAAAGTTTCCGCCCTTAGAAGAGGCGTATCGAATGTCTGCGGCGTAAATCGTTCTATCAGTTAACAGCTTCTGCGGTGTAAATCGTTTAACCGTTTGTGAATTGGAAGCAGCTTCTAGCCCTAATCGCGGCGCAAGCGTCTGCCTTTGCTCCTCTCACTTTTCCGAACTGTCTTTCAGCCTCTAGAGCTGCTGTGTGAGAAATCTATTGGAACTGCTAACAGACCCATGGGCGCTGGCGAGGCTCTGAGGAGAGTTCTTGAATGCCTTGCCTCGGGAATCGTTATGCCAGGTTAGGTGGTTCTCTGCATTTACATTTCAAAGCGAAGCCCAGACGGAGCGCGGTCGAAGCTCGGAGGCGCGGTTACGTTCCCTCGTTATACGTGCGGGCAGCTTAGATTCGGAGCTCAGAAAGCCCCCGGCCTACCCGGGTACTACAGTACCTCGCCGTTCCTTAGGGCACGTGTGTTCAGAGCTACGGACCCATGACGTTAAACCCCCGTAGAGAGAGGTACCAGTTCCTACAAGCGTAAAATTGGTTCCCTGAGTGGTCGTGACCAGCTTCACTGCTAATTGTACGTGTAAAATAGTCCAGACGAGTTTCAGAATGTTGGACATTGGATGGATCATGTCAGTCCGTGTTCTTCGAGAGATGAGTGTTGATTGATGCCAAGGGAATACTTAGTTTAGTTTCTTTAGAAAACACCAGGATAATTCTCTGCATATCTTCCTTGTTTCCTGCCTTCAGATGGTTCTGGTATTTATGATCCTTGTGAAAAAGAAGCCACTGATGCTATTGGGCATCTAGACAGACAACAAAGGGAAGATATCACACAGAGTGCTCAGGTATAGTTTTGACTACAGATGTTACGAAAACTTAATCAGTTCAACTGACTCTGAACTTCCATATTGGTTAATGGTAGTATAGTAACCTCACGGAGGTCGGTGTTAACTTTTTTAATATCTAGTCAAGTAAAAGCAATACAAATGGGTCCCGCACCAATAAGGAATTTGTAGCTTGGCCAACCAGAAGCAAAGTATCAGGTTTTAAATAGTGACTTGCTACCATGACCCGTATTTTGGGTTGAACTTCCAAAAATTCAGAGAGTCCTATTTAAACCGATGAGGATTTCGGTGTAGGGGTGGGCAGAATGTTCCTGTCTGAAACTGTGCAGGGAACAGAGATTGGTGGAGCCGCTTGCGCGTCCCAGTAACACGTCTTTCGTCTTTCTAGCATGCTCTGAGACTTGCTGCTTTTGGCCAGCTTCACAAAGTCTTGGGGATGGATCCCCTGCCTTCCAAAATGCCCAAGAAACCAAAGAACGAAAACCCCGTTGACTATACTGGTAGGTACTCGGCGAAAAAACCCAAACCCAAATCGCATTTCCAAGGCTTTTGCGGCTGTTGTTGCTGGAAACTGGAGTACTTAGGGGGTTTTTGTTACGATTGTTACAGTCCAGATTCCTCCCAGTACAACGTACGCTGTCACCCCAATGAAGCGTCCAATGGAGGAGGACGGAGAGGAGAAATCTCCCAGCAAAAAGAAAAAGAAGATTCAGAAAAAAGGTATTGAGTTAACACGAGGTAGGTACAAACGGCTACCCGAGAGCTGTTCTCAGGCCGAGGCGGGGGGCAGGTTGCGGAAAAGCTCTTGCAAGCGTTTGGTCTTGGGTGATGCCGTAAATAGGGGTTACGGGGCATGTGAATGTAAAAAAAAAAACCCTTAGCGCTGTAAGATTTTTACTTGGGATAACTTAAACTCTCGCAAGGAGGAAAATACGGATTGGAACTTGTCTGAAATCAGTTATGCTGCTTTGAAAGAGATGGCAAACATCCGCAAACTCGTGGGTTTTTTTCTCTCTTCAGAGGAAAAACTTGAACCTCCCCAGGCCATGAATGCACTGATGAAACTAAACCAGCTCAAACCTGGGCTCCAGTACAAACTCGTCTCTCAGACGGGTCCTGTTCACGCTCCTATCTTTACAATGTCTGTGGAAATCGATGGCAGCACCTTTGAGGCATCGGGACCTTCCAAAAAGACGGCCAAATTGCACGTGGCAGTGAAGGTAGGAGCCGTGCACGTCGGTTCCCGCCAGAGGGCTCCCGTTGGGAGGCGGTTTGATTGCTGACCTCTCCGAGTTGAGAAGGGCAACCAGACTGGTGGTGGTGGCGGCAATCACGACGACAACTGCGTGTGAAGACAATGTCGTAAACCCTTCAGGGCAGGGAGGGGAGAAGTTAAACCCCGAGGCAGTGTACTCTCTTGTGCGTGAAGTCTCAGGGCAGAGGAATTCATACCGCGTAGGTCGTGAAGTGCCTGCAGGATCTGGGGAGTGCCTAGGCGCTTGAACAGAATTAATAAAAATATTCTTGAGCAGCCTTCTCGAGTATTTACCCCAAAATGGGGAGGGGACACGAGAGCCGCTGCTTCTTTGCGCTGCTCGGTAACCTCCTCTCCTCCTCTCCTTCCCCTAGGTGTTGCAAGACATGGGTTTACCCACGGGAGTGGAAGGCAAAGAAGCTGGGAAAGGAGACGAATCAGCAGAGGAGACGGAACAGAAACCGGTCGTTGTCGCTCCCCCTCCTGTAGTAGAAACTGTCTCGACACCCACGGCTGCTTCTCCTCCTTCAGATCAAACCCCAGAGGTGAGCGCGGTCCAAGAGGGGGACGCGGGCCGCTCTGATTCTTTGGGACGATGATGTAGGACATCATCGGAAGCGCCTTTTAGCAGCAGGTTGCTATAACGGCGTACCGTACGGTTCAGTTACTGTCACGATACGCTTTCAGAGGCAAAAGCACCAGGCAAGCTTGTTCCAAGCTCATCTTCTTTAAGATATTTCCCCAAGTACGCGTTCTGGAAGCAACTCCTGGTCCGTTAGGTTTTTTCCTGGAGTCTCATCCCCTCTTCTCTGCTTCCAGAATGTGAAACAGCAGGGACCAATTCTGACGAAGCACGGCAAGAACCCCGTGATGGAGCTGAACGAGAAGCGGCGCGGGCTGAAATACGAACTGATTTCAGAAACGGGCGGCAGCCACGACAAGCGCTTTGTCATGGAGGTGAGGCGGCTTCTGGTCCTCTCTCTCTGCCTTCATCCCGACTCTCGGATATCTGTCGCTTCAGAGCCGTAGTGAGAATTTAAAATCATAAAATCAGAGAATGGTTTGGGTTGGAAGGGACCTTTAAAGATCGTCTGGTGGGCAGGGACGTTGCCATCAGGTTGCTCCTGACCTCGAACGCTTCCAACTTCGGGAATGGTCTGCAGGCACCATGAAAACGCTTCATTTTACCAAGCGGCGGCTTCTGTTCCTGCCCTTTCCGCTTACGCGCAGTGATTTAATCCGATTTAATCCCTTTCAAAGGTGGAGGTCGACGGGCAGAAATTCCAAGGAGCCGGTTCAAATAAAAAGGTGGCAAAAGCCTACGCCGCTCTGGCCGCGCTGGAGAAGTTGTTCCCGGATGCTCCTGTTGCCATTGAGCAAAACAAGAAGAAGAGAGCCCCCGTGCCGGCGAGGGGAGGACCCAAGTTTGCAGTAAAAGTAAGTAAATTCACAAGTCAACGACTTTGTGGTGCAACTAACGGCTCTGCCGTACCGTTCCCTCCTGCTCTATGGTTTTAATCCCTTTGGGGAGGGGAAATAATTTATGGTGTGGAGGGAAACCGGGATTTGCTAACGGCCTTTGGGCTTGAAAGCCGAAATACCGTTGAGTTACACAGAAAACAGCCTCTGTTTTCTGGAGATCGCCCTTATTTGGTGCCCACCCCGGCTGCTTTTTGCTTAGCCCCTCTTCCTTTCGAGGCGGACGGGTACCTGACGCGTTCTAGAGCTCCCGGCACCCTTGCAGAAGGTTGGTTTTCACCTCGGAGGCAGGACGGTGCGGCGCGGAAGGCAGCGCTGGGTGCCAACGCCTCTCTTCTTCCCCCAGCAGCACAACCCGGGTTTCGGAATGGGAGGCCCCATGCACAACGAAGTGCCTCCTCCGCCCAACATGCGCGGTCGTGGGAGAGGCGGCAACATCCGCGGCCGCGGGAGAGGCCGGGGCGGATTCGGCGGCAATCACGGCGGCTACATGAATGCAGGTGAGACGCTGCCCGCGCCGCCTCCTGACTCTTTCCGCGCTAACGTACCACAAACTACCCCAACCCCGGCAGGCGAATTCATCCCCTCTGGCGTTCTGTCGTGTTTGTAGCGTGACGGGAAACACGAGGCCTTTGTATGCTTCCGTTTCCTTTTATTTAAAGGTTTTCTTCCAACGCAGGTGCTGGCTACGGGAGCTATGGTTACGGAGGGAATTCCGCGACAGCAGGCTACAGTAAGTGGTTTTCGTCTTGCGTTTCGAAACGCGTCGATCTGCCGGGGGTGCGAGGCTCGGACTGGGTTGCGCCGTGCGGCGATGCGCTTGTGCGGAAGCCCTCTTAAGGGCTTCTCTTTTTTGAACGAGAAGTAACGAAAGAGGGCTCGTGTACTCGTTTAAAAGTTGAAGCGCGAATCCAGGTGACTTCACGTTTCCTCTAAAACTTGTGAATATTTTAAATTTCTCTGCTTTAAGCCACGTGAAGCTATCGGCCACACTTTTGAATGTGATTTTCCTGAAAATACACAGCGATTGGTCTTGCGAAGAAGCCTTCATTGGGGGGTGACAGGAGCAGAGAAATCTAAAACATGACTTTCAAATGTGGCGCATTTTGCCATCTTCAAAAGAATTCTAATTTTTTTTCTCTGCTCTGTCTCCCCCTTTTGTAGGTGACTTTTTCACAGACTGCTACGGCTATCATGATTTTGGGTCTTCCTAGATCATCTAAAAGTATTGCACAAAAAACAGCTTTTTACTCCAATTTTCTCGAACTCCAAAACCCAAAGTGTTCGTGCTGTGTCCCTGTGCTTCACTGGGTTTCTCAACAGTGGCTTTTCACCGCAGCTTGTCTGAAACTCTCTTAGCCTGCAGGACTTGAGACAGTGGCAGTTTTTATTGTGATTTGCCTTTGAACTCGGTTGTATCGATGTACGCAACAGGGGGAACCAATGACCCGAGAATGTCTTTGTGCACCTTGCACAAATTTCCAAGCCAGCTCCGTTCAGCGTAAAGGCAAAAAGCCCATCTTTGCTTTTTATGGAAAGCATTACTTTATTTTTAAGAAACTGAAGTGTTTTAATCTACCTTTGTCTTAATTTACAGCAGGTTTTGTACAAAATTTGAGCCTTTTAATAAATCCCAGCAGTTGGGTACACGCCTCTCGATATTGGGAAGACTTTTCAACATCTCTGAATATAGTACAGCCCAGCTTTTTAAGCATGCGAAATGTTGACTTGTACGTGGAATCGTGTGTGCTAAAAACTTCATCCTACATCCTTTGTAACACGCTGGTGGATTAACGCTGAGGGATGTGACTTGTTGTGGCTGGTAGCTAGTGTACTTTCAAAGGTATTGTAACTGTGCTTCCGATCCTGATACAATAAATATCCAGGCATTAGGGGTTAGTGTACAGCTGTCAGTCACCGCGGGGAAAACGCACGGAGTCGTTCGGTCACGTGAAAAGGGGCTTTTTTTTTTGAGCCAAGCGTAAAGGGCCTAAAGCTCTTCACGGCAGAGCCCCGCTGGCTGCGGGCTCGGCAGCCGCGCCGCCAACCGCTCGCTGCCCTAAAAGGACGTCGTCGCCTGGAGAATTAAACTTCACCAGAATCGGGAATCGCGGGAGATTTCGCAATTGGCCGCTCGAGACCCGAGTCTCTGAATCCCCAGTGTTTGGTCCTTTGTTCTTGCTACGGTATTTGTTTTTTCAAACTGTATTTTGTCGCTGGTTTTAGCTGCAAAGCCTGCACCCTTGCATTCGTTTAACTTGTGAGGCTCAACAACACTTGAGTTAACTCAGTAATTAAACTAGCTAAACAAAAACAAAGCAAACCGAAAAACCTCTGACCTACGAAGCACCAGCTTAAAAAAGAAAAAGTCCACGGTGTTCAGCGGATACTTAAAATAATCGTAACGCGTGCCCTATTTTTTTTTTAGAAAGCTACTGTTTGAGATAACGGCTTTTTGTACGAGGGAGTAGAGCCTGTCCTAAACGAGGGGGGGGGAAAAGTGCCGGTTTTTAAGCGGCTACGTGTTGGAGTGTTGGATATTTCTATTCCTTAGCGCTGATCTGGGGAAAGTTGAGAACAAACCCGCTGCCAAACAGCGTTAAAACTTCATAGTTAAATATGAAGTGTTGGTATCAAATGGAAAGTCCAGAAATAGCGACTGGGGAGAGACCAGCTTCCAGCCGCTGCAGCTTGAGTTTACGCGGTGCTGGTCAGAGGAGTCCCCGCGCTCGAACCAAAGACGGGGGTTTTCGTACAAGCGACGGAGCGCGGTGTCTCTCAGTCAGCGGAGAACTGTTTCGCTACAACCGCGCCGTTCTTGGCTGGCCATAAATTTATGACAGAAGCCCATTTCTGCGCAACTAAACCGCGCTCATCTGCGGAAGAGGAAGAAATCCTCGCGTAGAAAGTCTTACTGTAGCGCGGGGGGCGTAGATGGGAATGGATTAAATGATCAAGGAAGGAGAAGCGAGGTGCCTTGGAGAGCCGCGGCATTCGGCTTCCCCAGGAGTCGTCCCGGCGCTTCCACGCCCAATTGCGGACGCAAAGGGCGCGAGATTTTTACTCTTCGCCTCCTTTTTAACTCAATTCTCCCCCACCTCTCCTCCGTTTCAGAGGACGTGCTGGCAAACCCTTCCCTCTTTGAGAGGTGTAGCTCCCTTCCCCCAGCCTACGCGCCATTGCGGACACTTTCAGTTAGATTCTAGTGGTTTTTATTCCTCGAAAATACAAGTTCAGTTTCGAATAGGGCGAGTCTGACTGTAGAGTAAGTCTGCTCACGCTAAGCCCGACACGAAGAACGCCCTGAAGTTCAACTTGTGGAAATTGGGCAGGAAAAGAATCGCTCGAAGCGCTTGACCGTAGGACTCTCGATAAATAAAATTAAACCCAGACTGACTCTCGGCTGCGTCCAGCGCTGTCGCATCCAGGCTCTCCGGCGTGCTTTGATCCGTTAGAGGTTTTCGGTAACCTTGGATCCCAGGTGCAGCCCCCGAATTTCGAGGTAAACGGGATGAGCTGTGCACGCAGGTCTTAATTCCCGTTGGATCGCTGCTGCTCGCTCACCGTGTAAACCCGGCGGGCTGGCTCGCTGCGTTAGAGCGATCCCCAGGGATGTTGACACAATTCCTCGTTACAGGAACGAGATTCTTCCTCGTTACCGCCTCTCTCGGCTGCGGAGGCCGAGCATCAGCTGCCGTCGATGGCTGACTTGTCTCAAGTGTAGTTTGAGCACCAGATTTTAAATGTTTGTAGAGCACTGAAGCGATAACTGTTGGTTATTGTAACGCGCATTAAAGAAACTGTTGTAGCCCTGAGCTTAGCCCGAACCCGTGGGGGCGTACTGGAATTAAAGCTGTGGGAGAACTGGTGGGGTGTCGTTCACTGGGATTTCGGGGTGCCTGGACGATGGTACGGTGTCGATGCGTTTCACGGTTCCCCGGCTACTTAAGCCAACGCGATCTTTCGCCTCTGGGCCTCCTGTGGAGCCTTTCACCCGCGTCAGAGCAAACGGCTCCCCAGCCTTCGCGAGGGTAAAACCTCGTCGTCGTACGAGCCCTAACCTTTAAACGAGCGCCTCGCGTGCCTGCCCCCACCCCAAAACGCCCGGCGGCGGAGGCGGCGGCGGCGGCTCCTCCGGCTACGGCTCCTACTACCAGGGCGGCGATAACTACAACTCGCCGGTTCCTCCCAAACACGGCGGAAAGAAACAGCAGCACGGAGGACAGCAAAAGCCTTCCTACGGTTCGGGGTACCAGTCCCACCAGGGCCAGCAGCAGCAGTCCTACAACCAGAACCAGTACAGTAACTACGGCCCGCCGCAGGGCAAACAGAAAGGCTACAACCACGGCCAAGGCAACTATTCCTCCTACTCCAATTCCTACAACTCGCCTGGCGGCGGAGGCTCCGATTACAACTACGAGAGCAAATTCAGTGAGTGCTGCCTTGCCTATCTGGGGAGCGAAACGTGAATTTTAGATAATTGGGGAATGCGCTTGGTCCTGCGCAGAGGAATAACCGAGGCCCGCGGCGACGGGGCGAGGGGGAAGGGTTTTGAACGAAAAGAGGGGAGGTTCGGACCCGATGGAAGGAAGAAATTCTTTACGCTGAGGGCGGGGAGAGCCTGGCACAGGCTGCCCAGCGAGGCGGGGGGGGCCCCGGCCCCGGTCAGGGTCAGCTTGGGCAGGGGGCTGGGCTGGATGAGCTTGGCGGCCCCTTCCCGCCCGAACCCTTCCGTGATTCCACGAACTCGGGGGGGCTCGGAGCGCTCTGGGTCAGTTGATTGCGTTTGGGTTTTGTTGGACCGCCCCCGGCAGCCGCCTCGCCTCCGACGATCGCCCCTCGCGCTGCGAACGGCAGGCAAAACCCCTGGCTGGGGGCGGCGAAGGCAGAGCCGCCGCCGGGGAGAGCCGCCGCGCTCACCGCGCTCTCCCTTCCAGGTTATGGCGGCAACAGCGGCCGCGGAGGCGGAGGAAACAACTACTCGGGAGGTGCCTCCTACAACACCGGCTCGCACGGTGGCTACGGGGGCGGCTCTGGGGGCGGAGGGTCCTCGTACCAAGGTAAGCAAGGTCAGTATACGACGCTTCCCTACGTATTTTTCCGTGCGAGGGCAGCGTCTTTGCATCTGCTCTCGCGGGGCAGCGGCTCCTGGATGGGAGTAAAAGCTCCGATTCGGCCTTAAAACGGGGTTGTTTTTCTTCCTTTTGCGCGGCCGCGGTAACCGAGCTCCTCTCCCCCTTCCTCCCCCCCCCCC